GTGATAGGACTAGAAAACACCTTCCTTGTTTCTGTATATGTTTCTATCATATAAGACAATTCAATCACTTAGGTAAATGGAGGCAAAGATTAATGGAGTGGAGGAGGCACAGGGGATAACACAAAACAAAAATGTGCTAATAGACTCTTGTCAGTACTAACACCCAGAAGTGCCAACAGATGTGGTTAATTTAATGAAGCACGTGCCTCAGATTTGGCACTATTTTCCAGTGGGAAGATCTTTCAGAAAAAAATCACATTATACCACTCTCTTCACCACTCAATGCCTGGCATCTCTGCTGCCTTGAAACTGGCATATCATATTGCGTGTGGGAACCATGCCACCCTGACAGGTGGTCCTAACTCTCTTTGCCAGAGAAACACAATGAGCATCAGATTCTCGGTCTAAAGTTGGCACCAACCAATCTTTGCTTCCCCCAGCAAAATGAAAGCAGTCAGACACTGCTTTTCTAAAATTACAGGACCATTCTGGGAAAATCAAGCATTGCAGAAACAAAAGGAACATGAAAGCAGAGAAAAGAGAACACACATGAAATACCATTGCTACAATTCAGTCAGTGAGGGCCCCAAATCCAAACACAAGGGTCCTACACTATGTGAGCTACTCATCTGCTCTACTTTTTTAAACCTAGTGACTCTAAGTCAAATAAAAAGAGATGTCTTAATTCAAAATGAAAACATGAGGAAATGATATCCCAAGAGTAAGAATTACTGTATTTTAGCTGCCTGAACTATGATAAGGGGAGCAATACAGCAAATAAAGTTTAAGAATTTAAAACAACTGAGATTTAAGATTTTGTCTTTATAATAGATTAGAAGTTAAAATGGTTGTTCCAGTTATGTAGCAAATTCATTCCCTTTCTGAAAAGATTCTTTCCTCCCTACTATAAATGAGAGTAATTAAAGTTCTCAGTTCTCACTCCCATGAAACAAGTGTTAACTTAGAAAAATTGTTTTGGCTACTCTAGCAAGAGACATTACATTCCCAATCTGAAATGAGGCTTTTTTTTATATTTTAATTGTTGTTCAAGTACAGTTTTCTGTCTTTTACTCCCATCCCAGCCCACCTGCCCAGTGCTCCCCAACTCCCTCCCATTTCCACACCCCCTAGTTTTTGTCCATGTGTCCTTTATACTTGTTCCTGCAAACCCTTCCCCTGTCCCCCTGAAATTCCCTCCCCTCTCCCCTCTGGTCACTGGCAGCCTGTCCTCTATTTCAGTGTCTTTGACTATATTTTGCTTGTTTGTTTGTTTTGTTGTTTAGGTTTCTGTTAAAGGTAAGATCATATGGTATTTGTCTTTCCCTGCCTGGCTTATTTCACTTAGCATAAAGCTTTCCAGTTCTATCCATGCTGTTGCAAAGGGTAGGAGCTCCTTCTTTCTTTCTGCTGCATAAAGTTCCATTGTGTAAATGGACCACAGTTTTTTGATCCACTCATTTACTGATGGGCACCTAGGTTGCTTCCAGCACTTGGCTATTGTAAATTGTGCTGCTATGAACATTGGGGTGCATAGGTTCTTTTGGTGTTTCAGGGCTCTTAGGATATAATCCCAGCAGTGGAATTGCCAGGTCAAAAGGCAGTTCCATTTTTAGTTTTCTGAGAAAATTCCATACTGTTTTCCACAGTGGTTGTACCAGTCTGCATTCCCACCAACAGTGCACTAGGGTTCCCTTTTCTCCACATTCTCTCCAATTTGGGAGTTGTGAAGGACCAAAGAGTACAGCAGAGGGGCTGGCAGAGTGAAGATACTCTTCTGATGGTCCTGGGTGGAGTAGAGCAAGGGGGAAGGAATTGGGCTTCCAGTCACAAAGTCCTGCCCTGCTCTGCTGGATCCTGGGGTTACAGCAGGTAAGGCTCAGGACACAGAACCTTGTGAAGGAGGGGACAGAGAACTGCCTTGTGTATAGGACACAGGAAGGACTTCCTTCAAATAAGCTAATAACTGAGTGCAAGACCCTCTCTTAAGAATTAACATTGATCTGCACCTCCACACCTGCAACAAGCTTGGGAGGAAGAGTTCAATCTTTCCATCATCATCTGGGAAGACAGTAAGTGGGAACTGAAAAGAACAGTGAAAACCAACTCAAAATGATGGAGAGTACAGCTTGAGGGATGGGTGTTTTCACGCACTTGAAACTCCCAATAAAAAAACATTCTGATATAACTTAAAGCCTGTGTGGGCAGGAGGACATAGAGGACAGAAAGGAAACAAAAGTCCATGAAATAACTTTCATGGTCAAGACACTGAGGCCTAGATGTATGTAGAGTGGCAACCTTCTACAGCTTTGTACTTTCCAAAGACTAAATAAGCTGTTGGTGACTGCATGGAACTACGCCAGTCCAGAAGTGGATCCACAGCCTCAATTTTAATCCACTCTTTCCTTTTCCTAAAGAGAGTTCAAGTGAAGAGAAAAACAGAGCCTGGGCAGGTCAGGCAACCTGTAGACAAGAGGTCAACAGGAAACCTTCTTCAAAGGCTTCCTTATCCATTCGTCTTCTAATTATTCAAAGTAACTTCAACCAAATGAAAATCTATTCATATTCTTAAAAGGGTTTCCACAGAAGCCACATCTACCACTGCTATTGGTGTGCAAACATTAAATATTTCTGGGTTTGCTTTCTCAAGAACACTTGCATCCTTAATATGAAAGGCCTATAACAATCTCTTTATAAAATCTCCTTCCAATTTTAAAGAAAAAAATATTATAAATGTTAAAAGAATGCTCCTGGACTAAAAAGAAAGGTTATATTGCTGCTAATAGTTAATATAGTTCCAATGATACTAAAATATACTTAACTAATTTTTCATGAATCAAAGTATTAATTGAAAATCCATCATATATTAAGAACTTTTACCTTTGGTATTAGTTTTCAAAGGTTTTATTTTTAAACATCTAACTTTTGTATGGATAGCTCTCAGAAATAATTTTATTATTCACAAATGAATTAAAAATAGATACATATATCAGAATATGTATATATGTGAATTGAAATAGAAAAAAGATTAGTAAAAGGACCCTAGAAAACAATATGAAATGTCTTTAGTTTTTCATTATTCTGTGAGAATATGCCATTAAGAAGGCTAATAAATATATCAGTTCACCTGATAGATAATTTAGCCTCCTGATAATTTTTCCATTATTTCATAAGAACAATCTTGAGATTTAAAAAGAGGTTTTATTATACCTCTTAAATAGTGTGTTCCACATATGTTAAAACTATCAGCATTTAGTACTTTCTTCAAAAAGCACTTCTGATGTCTTAGAAATCTATTCAGAATAGGAAGTGGTCACTTTAAAGGATGTTGAAATTAATAAAATGATACTCCATAGAACTTCAGAGTTACCTCTGAGAAAAGCAAACAGACTTCATTTTTAATTTTCTTCAGGAAAAATAAGACTACTGGTAAATTGTTATTTTACCTAACTGCAAATTCAGATTTAACTGCCAGCTTGTCAATATGAAATACCATTGTCTGTAATGAACAAAACAGTGAGGGAATAAATGGACCCTTTCCCTATCTCCCACTCCCATTACTGATTCACAATCTTATTGAAAACCTACACCACAGTGCAGAATGTCCTCAGGCTGGGGCAGGAACAATTCCTCACCCCATCATATCCCTGGGACCATGTGTCCCTTGGGAGTTTTACTGTATGATTATCATAGGTGGGGAGATCCTGACTCCAGAAAAAGCTGGACATGCTTTATGGCTAAGTTAGCCTTCAGTCTCAGGAAGAAAAGTCACTACCACTATTCTCTGTCTTTGAAGCTGTTCTAGGCTGTTCCAAAACTCTTTGCTTCATCAGAAAAATGATGAATCAAAGGAAAAAGTGGTGGTTTTATTTGGATAAGATAAAGTAATAATAAAACTTTAATAAAGGAGTGGGGAGTGAAATATTATTCTTGTGTTTTTTAAAATTCCCTACTGTTTAAAACTGTAAAAATCATGCTTAGTTTGTGTGCCAAATGAGAACAGGCAGTGGGCTGGAATTGGCCCTTGGGCCTGTTTACCAACTCTGAGCTCTCGCATTTCACCAGCCCCAGCCCACACAAAATCCTGAATGAGTGACCTGCTTTTCATTATTAATAAGAGATTAATTCACAGGAGACATCAAAGGGCATGCATTAGTATATGACAATGATATTAAGGCCCTGGCAGCCCTAGCCTGTCCTAAGCTTTGAAAAACATCATGGAACGGGCTCAGTGAAGCTAGAGTATAGCTGCTTCTGCTTCAATCACTCTAGCATTTCATTAGAAATCATGACCCTCACTTCCCCCTATCCACCAACAAAAATATAAATAGTTGATTGTGATATATAAGGAAAGAGTTCTATAGTCCATAAAATTCTAACTTCTTCAGATACAGAAATTGAATGTGTACTTGTTGCATGTGTAAATTGCTATACAAGCTAAATGCATCATATCCGAATTCTATGATAAAACCATTTGGAAGGACATGACCAGAATCCATAAAATGGGAAGCATTATACAGGGATTCTGCTGTGTTTCAATAAATGTACTGATGTTAACATCCACACCCCCCATAACTGTTACTTCAACTCCAAGGACCTTCTTTGTAAGTATTAATAATGCTCCAATGAAAAAACAAGAACCCCATACTCCAGGTGCATATTCACAGCTATATATTTTAGCATTTTCTAATTTTTTCTCCAAGAGTTTTCAATAAGAGACAACCAAAAGTTTTTTTTCTCCTACAATCTTGCTGGAAATAAAATCACAAAAATCAATCATAATTGCTTTAGTGCCAAGAGCAAAATCTCTTGGTTTTATGCCTAGCAGTCTGCTCCTGTGTGACTACTGAAGTATAAACTCTGTATTATTAAGAAAGCAATGGAATTAAACAGGATACCTAGAGAGAGCTTATACCTTTTGACCCACGTTCCGTCAAAGTGATAAACTTACATAAGAAAATCATTTCACATCATGCAATTAAGAAGACAAACATCATGCTTACTTTCTCTAAATGCTTTACAGTAGCCCAGGAAGGATAACAGAAAGAAGAGGGCACCCAGGAGGTCTGCACGGCCAACAACACCAGCAACCTTAAAAGAAAAGGAAGAAAAAAAGATTTACATTTAAAATTTTTGAAACAAATAAACTTAGAAAATATAAAAAATTCCTTAGAAACAGAAAACAAAAACTTTATTAAGCTCTGCTATCTATTAAAATAATCTGTGTAACTGCAATATCCCAGTGGTCTTACCTTCATTTGTTTTTTTTTTATCAGTGTTGGTTGAGGACTTAAGTTTCCTAAAGAAAATTGGATTGCTCTGCACCTACTGGTGGCTATTCTGTGGGCTGGACACAGTCAGCAATGCCCTTGTACAGTGAAAGCCCTGTCATTTAGCACTATGTCCCCAAGGACTACAGAGACTTAGGCTTCTGATGTCCCCAAAGTGGATTATCAATTGGAAAACATTATCAGCTTAAACGGCATGATATTTAAAAATGAAAATTTGATTGAAAGCATAAAGGCAAGGTGTGAAATAAGTATTGTAAGTCATCAGGCAGAGCCCTGGCTAGTCTAGCTTAATTGATTGGAGTGTCATACTGTAAACCAAAATGTCACCAGTTCAATTCCTTGTCAGGGTACATGCCTAGGTTGCAGTTTCCATCTCTGATCAGGGTGCTTGTGAAAGGCAACTGATCAATGTTTCTCTTTCACACAGATGTCTCTCCCCTCACCCTGCCCCCCGCTATACCTGCTAAAAATCACTAAGCATGTCTTTGGATGAGGATTTAAAAAAAAAAGTAATCAGGCAGATAGAAAAACACAGGGATAATTGCTCTATGCTGCCTCTGCTATCTTTTCTTCCCTTCAGACCAAAACTGGTTAAGTGGGTTAATCTGGAAAGCATAATGCTTCAAAAAGTGATTGACAAGATGAAAACACAATAGAATTTATACCATTCCTACCCCCATTTTCTTATTCTGACAACTGTCCTTCCCTTCTTTCTATTAGTGACAATGAAGCAATATAAAATTTGTGTTTTATTTCTTTCAGGGTAATTACTCCAATAATTGTTCTCCAAATGTTTTGTGGCAATGAGAGATGCAAAATTCCATTCATGAGTATTGGGCTAGTTTACATGGCATTCTTTACTAACTAGCTCCTGGATGTGACATATATCAAAGTTTTACTGATTCCTTAGGTATCACTTCAATGGCTAATAGGTTCACCTTTTCTTAAATGGTATATATATGAGATATAGAACAAAGACTATTCTAAAAAATGGAAATAAGAAAATATGCAATGAATATGAAAATTACATTTACATATGAATCTCAAGTATGTGTATAAGCAATAGCTATACAGAAAGCTTTTTAGGACTTTCCCACTACACTGGTTAGATTTGAAACTCTGAAGATGATTACACATCCTGATCATGAACTCCTGATGCAGATGCACATGGCATCCCAAGGTGTCCCTCAATCTCTGAGAAGACTGAAAGAGCTAATGAATCCAACCTGTGAATGCCACTCACATCCAATATGGAAGCTAAGGACAAACAAGGACTCAAAACAACTGGAATGAGTATGCCAGTATGCCGGAGGGTTTAACAGTGTATTTGTCTCATGAGTGAGGTGAATACGCAATGAGAATTTTTGAACAGTCTGACCTGTAATACACTCAATAAGGGACACTAAAATCAGGAATGCAATGAAAACAATTAGAACACATAGTAGGTGCTGGTTCACTGTTAGTTCCCTGCATGAGTCCTGAAGAATGCTCCTATAAATTCAAGAGCAGAAAGAAATAGAAAGTAGTGGAAAAAGCTCAGGGTGAGGCAGGTATGGGCTCCATATCACCTTGGTGAGTGAGGGATGGAGCAGCTGGTCCTGTGGGCCTCCTGCCAGGACAATGAGAGCTGTGGCTATCTACAGGGCCTGAATGTGGCCAGGAATCCTAAACCTTTAGGGAGAATAAAGTAAGTAAAGCCAACCCAGAGAAACTTATCCAAAGGGGTCCTTATATCATGGTGGTCAGGGGAGACTGGGGTGAAGGATGTGGGGGTCAGAGAAAAAGATTCCTTGAAAATAGCGAAGGGAAATGGACTGGTTTGGATAAATATAAGAATAGGGACCAAAACAGTCAACCACTTATCTGAGTACAAAACCTGATAGTAAAATAAACTTTAAACATCATAAACTTATCTTAAAACAAATATTCTTCCTTTGCCTAACTGGTGAAGATACTACCAAGTTTAAGCAATGTGCATTAAGCACTGTCTGACATAAAGAAAAACAAGTTTTAAAAACTATGGCAAATGTCTTAAACTGAAAAAAGTATTCAGTCCTTACAATAAATTTTTGGCATATTAATTAAAGAGATTTCATAGAAAAGATTGTAAAAGGCTACCCAAGCAGGTACCACATCTAACTGGGAAATGGGCCTAAGAATGAGGAGAATTTTTCTTCTTTTATGATATTTGCATAACATGTATTTTCAAGCAAAGTTCTTTACAAACACTATTTTTTTTCTTACAAATATCCTGAAACCACTCATGTCAAGAGTAAGAGGATTTTGAATTAGTTCAGAACAAATTTCCCTAAGATGTGCCACTCTGGCAGGTGGATTAGTTTGACCTGAAGGCAGCTGAGACCCTATGGGCTCAGGAGATACTTCTGCTCCTCAACTATCCAGAAGAATCTAAATTGGAGCTTCGCCCATAATGAGGTATTACCAGAAATACCTCTTTATGACCTATCTATAGGACAGGGAAAACTTCTAATTACTGAACATCTGCACTTCTTACCATCCTGCAAATTCCCCTCATCCCCTCTGATGTCCCCAAGGCATCTTACATCGTTCCTTGGTTCAGGATGCCACATATACATCACTTTCCCTTTCTGTCTCTGAACCTTCATGTATGTGGGGTTCCCGTACATATGGGTGAAATTAAATTTGGTTACTTTCTCTTATTAATCTGTCTCATGCTGATTTAATTATTAAACCAGCTGAAAGAATCTAAGAGTAAAATTTCTTCCCCCCATAGTTCTCTGGAAAAACCAGTGCACTCTCCACTATCCACCACATTGTTTCCCCACTAGTGTGCAGGGGCCATAGGAAGGAATTTGAAGAAGGTGACAGGGAAAATGTTTCCCCACCCAACACTTTCAGCATTAATCTCTGGGTTCATTGGAGGGTCAGATTAAGGAGGCCTGAGCTGCCTGAATTCAGGCAACTTAAAATCTTCATCAGTATTTTGAGGAAAAGGAAAACTCAGAGTTGTATTGTGTCTTTAGGAAACCCCCAGGGACTCTCTCCTGCCTGGTCTCCAAAAGACAAGGGACTAGGCAACCCCCTCTAAGCTCTCCACTCTCTTCTGGTGGCTGGTCTGTCAGAAGCTTTATCCAGCTACAAATACCCCAGAGTGATTGGGGGTGGCAAGTTTGAAAATGAGACATTTCTATGAGTTAGGAAGCAAATAAGACAGATTACAATTATTTCACTACCAACTGGGGACCATGAGGTGGGAAGTCTTCAGGGTGTGACTGACTCATGTCAATTTGCCTAGGACTGTCCTTGTTTTAAAATGGAAAATCCTTTGTCCCATAACACCCTTAGTTTTAAGCAAAGTGAATGGCTGGTCACTATAAAGATTGGAAAATGTAGGTTCTTATTTGCAATGAGCAAAAACATTCCCAATGTTAATATAAACACATAAATGTTAATGTAAAGACATTTATATTACTAAATCTTTATTACTATAAAGAAATTTATATTACTAACACTGCTACTGCTTTCCCTTAGTAAATGTAAACAGAAGCAGCACAGTTATTCCCAAATCCTCAATCCTCATCCCAGATCCACATTCAGTTGGGGTGGGTGGTGGGGATGCTCTGCCCAGGGCTATTATCAGAGATCCTGACTGGGACAACAGTGCAAAGCTGGTCCTGGCCTGGAAACTCTAAGAAGCTCTCCTTCCATCTGGCTCTTTGGGTGATCCTGCCTTATGCTCACTTTTAAAGCAGGGTTAAATGTAGAGTAGAGAATTTCTGGCCAAGATGAAGGCATAGGTAGATACACTTTGCCTCCTCAAACAACCAAAAGAAGGACAACAAATTTACAAACAAAAAATAACCAGAACTGCCAGAAAATTGAACTGTACTGAATTCTGACAACCAAGGAGTTAAAGAAGAAACATTCATTAAGACTGCGCCATAATGCAGCGACGTGGGTTGCCCCACCCTGGTGAATACCTAAAGTTCCACCTCTTACAAAATAACAGGTGTGCCAAGACAAAAAATATGGCCCAAGTGAAAGAACAGATCAAAGCTCCAAAAATAGAACTAAGTGATGAAGAGATAGCCAACTTATCAGATGCATAGTTCAAAACACTCGTAATCAGGATGCTTATAGAAATGGTGGAGTATGGTTGCAAAATAGAGGAAAAGTGAAGGCTATGCAAAGTGAAATAAAGCTACATGTACAAGGAACCAACAGTGAACGGAAGGAAACTGGAACTCAAATCAATGATTTGGAGCAGAAGGAAGAAATAAACATGCAGCCAGAAAAGAATGAAGAAACAAGAATTCAAAAAAATGAGGAGAGGCTTAGGAAACTTGGGAACAACTTTAAATGTTCCAACATCTGAATCACAGAGGTGCCAAAAGGAGAAGAGGAAGAACAAGAAATTGAAAACTTATTTGAAATCATAATAAAGAACTTCCCCAATCTCGCAAAAGAAATAGACTTGCAGGAAGTCCAGGAAGCTCAGAGAGTCCCAAAGAAGTTGGACCCAAGGAAGCACACACCAAGGCACATCATAATTACATTACCCAAGAGTAAAGATAAAGAGAGCATCTTAAAAGCAGCAAGAGAAAATTAGATAGTTATCTACAAAGGAGTTCCCATAAGGCTATAAGCTGATTTCTCAAAATAAACCTTGCAGGCATGCAGGGGCTAGAGAGAAGTATTCAAATTCATGAAAGGCAAGGACCTACATCTAAGATGACTCTATCCAGCAAAGGTATCATTTGGAATGGAAGGGCAGCTGAAGTGCTTCCCAAATAAGGTCAGGTTAAAGGAGTTCATCATCACCAAGCCGTTACTACTTAAAATGTTAAAAGGACTTACCTAAGAAAAAGAAGATGATCAAAACTATGCACAGTAAAATGACAACAAACTCACAATATCAACAACTGAACCTAAAAAAAATTAAAAACAAAAACAAAAAACAAAAGCAAACAACTAGAAAAGGAACAGAATCACAGAAATGGAGATCACATGGAGGGTTATCATTGGAGAGGGGGAGGGGGAAGAATGGGGGAAAAGATGCAGGGGATAAGAAGCATAAATGGTAGGTACAAAATAGACAGGAGGCGGTTAAGAAAGTATAGGAAATGGAGAAGCCAAAGAAGTTATATGTACGACCCAGGGACTTGAACTAAGGGTGGGGGAATGCTGGTGGGAGAAGTGGTACAGGGTGGAGGGGAATAAAGGGGAGAAAAAAAGTGGGACAACTGTAAGAGCAAATTCAACAAAATATACTTAAAAACATAGAGTAGAAAATAACAGGGAGGTATCGATAAGACAAAATCGAATACTGACTATTTGTCAAAACAATGGAAGTTGAATACACAAATTATCTGTCTGATGGATTACTGATTTTTAATGATCTATAACTTTTCCTTGTAATATGACTTTGAATGCTTTTCATGGATTAGAGAGGTGGGAAAGACTGAGAAATTTTTTCAGATACCCCCTTTTCTCCTATATAGCTAGACTTCTCTTAGCTTATTTTTAAATATCTCAAATGTAGAACTTTGGTGGTAACATGTTCCCAGATTGCATATGCCTGGAGATGTATGCATGTACATGTGTATATCCCGTTATACTTGTTAGCATTTCCAATTTTTCTACAAACTAACTTTTCAGTATTTAAAATCAGAACTCTAGAAAAATTTCTTTGGTTAATAATTCAAATATTTCATTTTGTTTTTAAGATCACACAAAATTAGATAAGGACCAAAACTGTAAATCAGTAATTTTACCAGAAATTCCCTTATTTCTGATCAATGTGTATATTTCTGAGTCCCAACAAATATTTAGACTATAAAATAACTTACAGAAACAAATTTTAATTTAATGTCACACATATACACATACATACAGCTTACAGTAGTTCCCATCTTGCCAATACCTTAAGTCCTCTGAATTTGCTGAAGTAAAAAACTATGATAATTTTTTATAGCTTAGTAATAAGATTAGAAGAACACTTTGAGAGCAATTCCATAATCCTCTTAATACCAAAGAACAGGTAGTTTAATAAAATTAATAAATGAGATGCTAAAGGCAAGAATTCTGCTCAATATTTTGAAACTTAATTTCAGGATGCTTAGTACAATTAGTTAATGTGTAAGTATTTAAATACATATGAGATGCAGAAGTCTTGTAGAGATGTGATACATGTAGTATTTTATACTAGGTACTTCACACTCACAGAATGAATACATAAGATCAAACCTTTTACCTCAGCAAACATGGTGATTTACATTTTCAAAGGGTTCCCATGGAGGTGTGGGGTAGCATGATTCCTGAAAATCCCACAGTTTGTACCAAATATATTCAGCAGCAGCTCAGTGGAATAAAAGCATGACCCACAGGATAGCAAGTTAGGCCCCTGTCAGGAGCTGCCAATCTACCTGGGCTGAACCTGTCAAGTGGAAGAGAATAATACAGGGCAAAGACAAGGAAGGGAAGGGAGGTGGGGAGAATCCCCCAGTAATTTCCACAGTTGGACTTAGGGACCTACTTTCCAGTTCAGCTCAAAGTATGCGGGCATCACCTCTGCACAGACCTCAGACAGCCAGATTTTAAGTTCTATTCCTACATCCACCAGCTGCTCAACTCACCTGCAATAAGTCCTTTATTTGTCCTCTCAGACCATTTCTTCTTCAGTAAAGTAAAACTGTTATACTGCCACAGAGTTTCTGTGACAATCACGATAGCAAGAGAAAGTATTTTGCAACTTATAAATCTCTCAGCAAACACAGGAAAATTGAGCATCAAACCCTTCACTGAAGAAAGTTAATCTTAGCATCTGGTTTGTAGACCCCAAAGCCAGGCAACATTCAACATTCATACCTTTACAGTGTGATCATACAAGAGAAACAGAAAGTATGGGTTGGCCAAAAAGTCTGTTTAGTTTTTTTCCATAAAAGATACATTTTTCATTTTCACCAATAACTTTATTGATTTGGATATTTTTAGTAGTATGTCGGCTATCTCCCATGTGGTATAACATTAATTGTTGTCAATTAATGTCTCAATTTAATCATTATCAACTTCAACTGGTCTACCCGACTGTGGAGCATCGTCCAATGAGAAATCTCCAGCATGAAACTTCACAAACCACTTGTGACACATTCTATCAGTCACAGCACCATCTCCATAAACTACACACATCTTTTTTGTGTGTTTTTGTTGCATTTTTACCATGCTTGAAATAATAAAGCATAATATGTCAAAAATATTGCATATTTTCTTCCATCTTCACTATTAAAATGGCTACACAAAAATTCACCAAGTTTGATAAGTTTTTTTAAAATGCATGCTGATATAACAGCTGCCATAATACAATCTAACAAAATTGTTTTGAATAAAGTTAAAGACAACTAAGTGCTACTAGAGCTATCTTACAGAAAAAAAACAAGTGAACTTCTTGGCCAACCCAATATCACCAGAGGTCATACTATTCCATCATTATAAAATCTTCATTGGTATGAGACTCTGCATTTTTCCACAAAAGAATTCTATTGGACCTACACAAAATTGTTTCAAACATCTGACAGGGCATAGCTGTGTATACAAGGTACTGTCTACAGCTCTAAGAGGATTTAAAGGAAGCCTGTTTTAGGAACCAAACTGACATACAGACGGCTTCTCAACCTTACACAAGTACAAATGTCATAAGCAGACATGCGTAATACTTACACACTCAGTGTGTACCGGATGCACTGCAAATAGCAGTGCAGCCAGCAGGGATGATCTGGGAGCCAGGTTCAACCTCTGGCCTTTACTGCTGTACTGCAGGCCACCAAATAGCACTGAGAAGACATCAACCATGAGGACAGAGATGCCACTGTGCAGAAGGATGTTCACCATGTGGAAACTCATGGGGTGGAAGCCTCCGGACAAACAGTAGTTAATCCTGCAGCAAATAAAGGGTGCTCATACAAGGGGTGCAGAAACATGTGAAATAAATGCAAAACCATCTGAAGGAAAAGGCTAGTAATTAAAATATTAAAAGGAGAAAAGACTCTGTGCAACTTTGGTAAAATAACACCAAGATAAATAATGCCATCAAGCTAAGAAGATTGAAGAGAAGGCAGGAACGTAATCAGCTGCAGAGGGGTAATTGGATGATAAGGTGATTTCAGAGGAGTGGGACAGAAAACTTGGTGGCAAAGCTAGACCAATTTTTGAGTGCAAAAACAGCAAGATTACATTCCAAAAAATATATTATCACATATTACTCGTGACTATTCCAGAGGGACCTGGATATAAGATAGTCATGTAACTTGCTTATGCCCCCCTCCAAAAAAAAGTACTTTATAGTTTGTCTACCAGTCTCCTGAACAATGAACTACTTTCTCATTGTCAGGGACTCTTATTTCTGACTGCTTTTCAATTACCAGTGGTTCCAATTCATCATTTCTATGCTTCTTTGTGAGATCTAGACACAAGTATTTAATGCATACAAGAAACATCTATGAATAGAAACTTTTTGTGGTAAATAAATCTATTTAATGCAAAAAGCTCCCTGATTCATGGTGGGGGGGAAGAATTAGATTGTTTTTAATCTCATCTTGGTTTTGCCTATTGACAGTAGGAAGATTTATACCTTATTTTATAGTGAAAAAAATGACAATTTCATTTGATGCCACACATTACCTTGACTCATATTATTTCCTTGGTATTTACCAGCAAAGGGTCCAACCCCCAAGAACTGTGCAAAATAGAACACTTCATCGATTTGTATATCATCTTTGAACAAGGGTCATGCTAATTTTCCCTGTATTGTTCCACTTTTAGCATCTTTCCTGCCAAAGCAAGCCCTGCAATAAAATATCCTAACACATGTTCTCTCCATCTTCCTGTGACCTAACTCCTAATAGTTGGAGTTATTCAATACCCCTACTTGTTGGAGACCCTAGGAACCATGGATAGACTCACAGACCCTATGAACTTTGTCACATACAACCTGGTACATTATAATGCACAAGCTTTGGGTGACCCTCTAGTACAGGCCGTAGTTATATCTCACCTGAAAGTCAGGACGGTGAGAGGTCGGTAGGACTTGTGGCTGGTATTGCTGCTCAGCCTACTGCCCCAGAAGTCATGATACCATAGGTCTCCAAGGGGTGTTTCTGCTTGGAGATCCTGTGGGAACACAACCAGAGGACATTCTGGACAAAGGAGTCATGGCTCCTTACCCCAGAGCTAACCAAGTCCTCTTCTTTAAAGTTCCTCATACTTCTACTCTTCAACTTTCCCAACAATCCTGGGCCAAGCAACCACTATCACTCATCTAGGACATAAGCAGGCCTCCTAGAGGGTCGACTGAACCCTCTGAATTGTTCTCTACATTGATCTTTCCAAAATACAAATCAAGTCACTCCACTCACTCCTGCTTAAAACAATGCAACTGATCCCTCCCCTTCCAGGACAAAGCTGATGTCTTGACATGGACACCACAGTCCAGGGCACCCTGGCTCCCACTGAACTCTGCAGACTCATCTCTTGGACTCCGTGATCCTGCTAAAGGCCTTCATCGGTTCCCACACAGCTCCTGCTACCATCTATCCAAAAGGTTTTGCATGTTCAGGTTTCCACCCAGATAGTCATCCCTGAAGTCTTCACAACTCAGCTCCTCTTGCCGTTTATATCTCAACCTTCTTGAGCTGAGGCAACTTCCCTTCCATGGGTCTTGGGACATCTTGCACCTATCCTCAGAGTGACTGGCACACTGGTGACTTATATTCATATAGTTATACCCATATAACTATTATCTGTCTGCTCCACTGGCCTAGGGCTCCACAAGGCCCAGATATGTCTATGTTTGCTGGGAGTACATAGAAGGTGCTTAATCTATGCTGAATGAATGACTGGACCATATAGCTAAGATCACTATTACCCTCTCTCTTATCTAATACATAAGGCAATTTACAAAAATATCTCATTTAAAACGTGAGTGGATAAATGTTTTTAAGTTTTCCATTTTTGATCATGAGCTAAGCAGATAGTAATACTAAAGAAAATAATTTTTAAAGATAAAGATCACTAGTATTAAAAAAACATTACCTATCTTACTATCAATACTAACATAATTTAATTTGGTATTGTACTACAGACACTTAAAGAAGCATTTTTTTTTACATTTAAATATGAAACTAGATTGTTTAAACTGCCTAACAATAACAAAGGCTATGGAGTAACTCCACAGGTTACTGTGGAGTAACAAAACAATATTAATTTTTCTCTTTAAAGCATAATTAAACAAGAATATTTTAGGGACTAGAAATTATACTAAGCACCACAAGGTATATCAGTGCAGACTCTTTGTTGCAGTAAGCAAAATTGACTCTGATTAGCTTAAAAAAGGGAATGCTTTAAAGAAGAGTGCAAGGCTCACTGACTCCCTGGTGGTTTGGAAAACCAGGTTCAGTGCTGTGTAGCCAGAAGCACACACACAAATCACACACCACCAGACATCTTGCTGAGGCTGCCCCTCTGCCTCCAGATCCAACCTCTTTGCATAACTAGCTCTTCATTCCAACAGCTGGTGCACCTGATAGGAGAGCCTATGTCTGTGTCTGTATCTAAACTGGACAGTTTTTGCAGGCAGTGGGGAATGACCCAAACAGAAGAAATGGTCAGATCACAGCTAGCCCAAGAGAACAACCAGTGTCCATGACACACAGTGGAGTTTGGTGAGTCCTAGCTACTGAAGTGCTTACTAACTCAAAAGGAAAGGCTGGAAAAGAGGCAAGAGATACAAAGTTGGCCACCTGATACCCACTTGGAGGGTGTATTTCTCTTCTACTGGGTATCAGCTTCAGAGGGCTTCAATATACTGACACCCTCTATGACTTGGTTAGATATTTCCTGAAGGTCCCATAATCCACCTACTAACTGAGTTCAACTCAGTTAAAAATTTTAAGTCCATCTTCTTTTGCACTGTCCTAGAAGTACCCATTCAGTTGTGAAGGGGGTGGGTAGAGGATTTCTTCTATGTAAGCAGAAAATAAACACCAAGGGAGCTCTAAATATTTCATCAAGTATAGCCTAAACAGAGCAGGGAACACTACAAAAAGGTCAATTTTTCCTCATAATGATTTATGGAAAAGATGTTGTATGTCTGAATTTTTTTTGCTGACTCTGTATCTCAAAATCATCATCTCAATGAAAGAGGGCAACTTGACACTACAATGATGCATCTGGAAAACTGTCTTTAACACCAATAAAACCCAGTAACAGCCTGTTTCACATTACTGTAGGCACAGTGCCAATGAATGGAGTGCCTTTCATTTAACAGGAAAGAAGAAAGGGAGGGCTAGCAAGTTAACAAAGGGGCACAGTGTGATGCTCTGGAAAACACTGCCAAGACAATGTGTAGTAGCACCATAGCATGGCTTCATCTGCCTTACCCCACATAGAAGGAAAGAGAATTATACCCACACATCAGGGCACCCCACATACAAGAGAGCTCAAGCTGTCCCTTTCCCTGTTTATCAAAGTTCTTCCACATAGGTTCTAAGTTAACTTTATAAATCTTCCACTTGCTAAAAGTGGAGGAGTCAAGAAACTCTCAATAAAATAATAATTTTAACAATAAAGTCTTATCCTTGAATCCTTGTTAGGAAAGCAATTCTGTAGCTATCAAGCCATGGATGTGACAGAGTTGCTATGATCTACAAATGTACTTCTTTTTCTTGTAAGCATAGTTTTAAAAACAACTGAAACAGAAATGTCCGAAAAAACTGCTGGATGAACTTGAGGAAAATTACAAATGAAGAACTTGAATTAAAAAGAAGCATCAACAATGCTGTAGTTTGTGCCATCAAAATACAGAAAATCAGTTGCAATGCATTACAAATGAAATACTACAAAACAGTCATTCTCCACTGCCACCCACAGAAAAAAAATTTTTGTTACATCGACAATTTTTTTCCAGTATTTTCAATGTGAAAATGACTTTTTCCTCATTTGGTAGAAACAATGACTTCAAAAATTTAACAGTATCCAATAACGGTGTTACAAAGAGTTGCTACAATCGCATCTGCTAGAGAGAGCAAGTAGTATATTCCTTCAAACTGTCTTCATTGGTTAAGGTATACACATAAAATATCTCCTGAGTAACTAGATGTCATAGGACTACAACCATTTTCAGTCTTTCTCTTCTGGGCCTTCCCTGCCTCCAACTTTCTTGTTCTGATTTTCTCTAGGCTTGCTTAAATCTTTTTCTTCCCTTCCCACAAATTTATTTCTTCTCCTCCTTCTCTAGTTAAGAGAATGAAAGAGTATATTTTCCCTGAACTGATGGAGCACCCACTGGCAAACAAAAGTGGCTGAAATTTTGCAGATTCAGCAAATTTGGATCTCCAACACAAAATGAGCAGGAACTTCATCACTCCCCATCCTCCTATGGCTGTCAGTAGGCTCTCTTGATGCTATCAGTGAAGGACAAAGAAGCCAGCACATGGCCTGGTACTGAGGCTGAACCTTTTCATGAGCTATCATACTCAGCCATCACTGCAGCAAATATATGATTTTCTTTTTTTCTGGAACAGTTCCGGAAATCTCTTACAAAACCTAACTCAGTCTGCAATGTCCTACAACACCCTTGCCTTGAAATCTTAGAATAATGGTTTCTCTGATACACGTGTGGCTTGCAGCCTCACATCACACTGGGTATATAGGCAGGGGTTGGAGACCCCCGGCAGCCAGCCTTAAAAGGGGCCCTATGTCAAGGAGACACTATCTAAAAGAGATGGAAAATCCAGAGTACAATTGGGGCCCATGCAAATGCTTAACCCAAGTTTAGTAGAAACTAATTCAATATAAACTTAGATTATTACTGAGATGTAAGCAAGTGGTTAACATAAGTTTATCAGAAAGGAATTAAGATACAAACCTTATTGTTAACAATAGCTTCAGAGTCATCAAAGACAAAATCTCCATCATAGCTACGTGCAAAACATACGAGGGAAACAAATCCCACTACTAACTTAGCCCTGAAAGGAGGAAGAACAGAAGATGGAATGATGTGATCCAAATCGGCCTCCAAATTGGCCATTCTGAAAACTGCAGGCTGTCAGCCTCTGGCTCTAGCATTGTGCTGGTTAGAAATCTGCAAGAAAAATAGCATGATATTCCTGTTAATGGTAAAATCATATGGTATTTGTCTTTTATTGCCTGGCATTAACAGGAACCTAAGCAACAAAACAAACAAGCAAGCAAAGTATAGCCAAAGACATTGAAATTGAGAACAGGCTGACACTGAGAAGGGAGAGAGAGGGGAGGGGATGAAGGGGAGGAAAGGGTGAAGAGTTTACAGGAACAATTATAAAGGACATATGGACAACAAGAAGGGGGATGGAAATGGGGGAGAGAGGCGGGGAGGGATGGAGTGGTGGAGAGGAGTGGGGAGAAAAAGGCAGAAAACTGTACTTGAAAAACAATAAAAAAATGTAATAAAAAAAGAAAAAGAAAAAATAGCATGATATAATCATTCATTACTGCATTGTTAGGAGTGCTTCTGCAGTGAACCTATTCACCTGGAGTGAACAAGAGTTACACAGTCATTTATGTTGCAATTTTAGAGGATACACTTTTTAAAATCTTTAAGTTGTGGTTTTCTAACTCTAGTGGGCAGAAAAGTCATGTGGGACACATACAGATTCTCCTGGGCCCAACTGCAGCCTACCAAACTAGAAACCATTGGGTTTGATGCTGGATTATCCTTGAGAAACATTGATTTAATGGACTCCTATATTTATCAACCCCATAATGGACATCATTTTTTACAGTCCTGGAACCAGTTTACAAAGTTAAAAAAAAAGTTACTATTTTACTGCATCCAATCAAGAAAAATAAAGAAATATTCATCATTCAGTCTTAGCACATTGTATGTAGAGGGGATGGGGGAGGAGGATGAAACACGATTGCAATTTTGAGAACTCAGGACACTCATGACAGATAGATGAAAATCTGAGAGAAGAGTTTAATAGAGATAATGAGGCAGGGCATATGTTTGATGGCCAAGTCAATGGTTCATATACAGACAGCAGTAAGAGGGAGGAGAGAATGTTGTACTGACTGGTTTGGGACAATATCTTATTCCAGAAAGGGCTGAGCTATATCTGAAAGAGGAGAGAAGTTATTCTAGGTAAGGATATGACCTTCAATATCTGTGAAAGAGACAAGTTACAAATATACATTTACTTCTTAACTTTTTTTCAAACAGGCAAAATATTAAAGCCAGAAATTTCCTTGTCTTAGCCTTGCCACTTAGTTCTGTGGCCTTGTACATGTCACTTATTTTCTCAGAGTCCACTTCCTGCACTACTCTGCAAAGCATAACTTCCCAGCAGTGAGAGAGCTTCCGGTCTTGGAATTCACCCAAATACTAAACTACCTCCCCAAACCACATATTATCTGTCCCCATTCCCACCACACCCTTAATAGGTGCTTTCTTTGGATTTATCAGAACCATGTTTGTGTCAAATTGCTTGGGTTTCAATCCTGGGTAACTTTGGACACATTACTTAACCTCTCTGGGCCTCAGTTTCCTGACCTCTAAAGTGGTAATGATAACTCTGCTGACTTCACATGATTGTAAAGAGAGTTAAACAGGACACACACCTAAAGTGTTTAGAAACACTGGCTTTAATAAATGCCCAGGGGTAGTTAACTTTATTATAAGTACCTGCTCCAAGGAGGGTGAAAGCACAGGCAGACTATTTTCTTTTGAAACAAGAAATCCCTTTTAGTATTTGGTTTATTGATACCAGGGCTCTTTTGTCTTTCCTATTAAGAGACCTGCCCCATTCCTTTCCTGCTGAGACAGAGGATACTCCCAGGTCCCTTGACTGGGAAGGCAGTTTGAATGTACTTGTTTTAAGGTTTCTAAGGGAATACCTCAAGACTATGGGATCAATAAGGAGTCAGCCAAATAGGCCCTTTGAGGTTACAGGCATCTTTTTGACAGGCTTCTGAGTAAACGTGGGGATAGAGCCAACAGTGCACAGAACATATCATTCGATGGTAACAATGTCCTTTCCAGATTTTCAATCCAGAGATGAAAGGCTCTTCCATTCTCACTGAGTTCTCCAGGCTCTCTGCAAGTCCTGGGGGGAATTCCATCTACTACCTGCAGTCCCTGCCCTTTTTCTTTTCCAGTGAAAGGATAAACTACTGCTCAACTCTAAATTACAGCTGCAAACACAATACAGGTCACCATGCAGGCCTCAACTACTGTTGTCTACATTTCAGCTAGAGTAGTCCCACTACTTAAATAAACAAGGCTGAATAGTTAGAAAGATACCATGACTTAACATGGAGGGAATCGAGTGTTCTTTGATTTAGAAAGTTAATGTGAAGGAAAACAAACATTTTATAACAGTTTTAAATGCACAATAGAGCCATGAACATAATAGATGGTCTTGATGTAATCTGCCTTAGGCCCAAATATTTGAATATTATTTCACAAAATGTTATGAGGTCCAAATAGCCCCACTGGAAGAATACTGAATCAGAAAATAAATTGTGCTTCTTAAATTAATTGTGGAGCTTCATTTGTCATCTCAGACTGTCTCTAATGAAGACTAGTCATTTTGGTACTAAGGGAACAGCAGAGATGTATGCAAAGCACAATGTAGACAGACCCTAACATCTGAGATGCTCTGTCCGGCCAGGGCCAGACTCCTGGGGAGTGAACAAGACAGTTGAGTCAGTTTCAGAATGATCCCCTGCCTCCTCTTCTCCTGCAGGGACATCAGAGAACCTAGTCTGCTCAGTTCCTGCCGTCAGCATTTTCTGTACTCTGGCTGGCTCCCCTTCTCGTAGCAGCTTCCCTCACTTCTTTGCTGTGCCACCTGCTCAGCTTCCCCAAACTCCAAGCCTGTGCAAAGAAGAGGTGGCTGGGTGGTCCAGGGCCGGTGGCACCGGCTCTCTGCAGCTGTGCTACGCAGCCAGCTTGCACTAGCTGTCACTCACTGCGCTGGCTGCCGGGGAGCCACCTTTAATCCAGGGCTCACATCCAAGTGGCCAGGCAGCACCCAGCCATCGAGGGCGCGGGGCCCCGAGGCCAGGTACACAGGCACCCGGTGCACCTTGGGCTGGCAGGAGGGCCTGCGCAGTTGTATCAGGCTGGGGGACTACGACAATAGGCGAAGGGAGCGCAGGAGCCGATACCCGAGATGCGGGCAGAGGGAGCAAGCACGCTCTCATGTTTTTACAGCAGGGCGCCCAGGGCCTGAGTCCCCCAAGCCCAGGCTGCAATTGTGGTCCCGAAGCCAAATCCTCCAGCAGCGTCGCAGCGGGTCCAGAACGGCCCACCAAGCTTGGGGCGCAGCAGCAGCAAGGACACTGCGTCTACTCTGCCCCCAACTCCGCTAGCTCGTTCTGAGGCGTGCTCAGCCCCACTCCACACTGCAGGAGCCTCCCCGCACTTTACCTGCAAGCAGCCAGGGCTGCGGCTGCATCTCCCTCCCGGGTGCGGAAAATCCGGCTGCTCCGGTCTCCCTACCGGAGCTGGGCAGGGGGAGGGGCCGCTTCACCTTGCCCCCCTCCCACACCACACGCTGCCAGCCACCCGCACCTCCAGCTGCTTCCCACGAGTGTGGCCGCTCCCTCACAAGCTCCCGCCTTGGCCCGCCCCCTCCTTTAGGCCTTTGGCTAGTTCTGCCGTCACTTTCATGCTGCAGCGGGTTACTTTTCAGCCCATTGGCTGATGAGCGAGATGTCGGGCTGGCAGGGCTACCGGTGTTGAAGGAGGCGTAGGGACTCGGCGGACTCTACGGGAGAGGAGGGAGCGGAGTTTTGAAGTGGAGTCTGGGCGGAGCCGGTGGGGGTGGGGGGGAGCGGTGGATTGCGGGAGCGGGCTGCTAGAGGTCTGTCCCTTTTCCAGTTGTCCACCCACGCGGGGCCTTTTCCTGCTTTCCAGCATTTCTCGCGCTATCTGCGGTGGCTCTTGGCGAAGGGACCGCAGCCCCTGCAGGAAAAGGAACTGGATCGGAACCAACGGAATTCCAGACTTCCTGTCTGGGAGGAGTTACTTCAAATGCTTGTCTCGACTTTCTGCCTCTTGGAACAGAACTGAACTCAGTTTTTCAATCTGAGGCCTTGCCGCTTTTGTTTTTGTTTTTGTTTTTGTTTTTGTTTTTGTTTTTAGCAGATCCTCACCCAGGATCTGGGTATCCATTCTGCTGACCCACGAATCCTGCTGTGACGAGATCTCCATCCATCTTCATTCACTGATAGTCACTTTGCCCCAAACTTCCACTCCCAACCAGATTGCTACTCTGTCCCCCATAACCCCTATTTTCAGATTACTTTGTCTCCTGCCTCAAGAAAAAGAAACAGTATCCATTCTCCACCACCAAACCTACCAACCTACTCCTTAAAGCACAGATTCCAACGACCTACACCCTGCCTTCACATAAAGGAAAGTGAATTTGCCTGAACATCTACTCTTTTAACTTACTTGTCCCATACTTTCTCTGCCTATAAAAACTCTATTTTGAACAGCTTCTCAGAGCTCCCTTCTATTTGCTAGATGAGATGCTGTCCAATTCATGAATCATTTAATAAAGCCAATTATATCTTTAAATTTACTCAGCCTAATTTTTGTTCTTTAGCAATATAAATATATACTATATATGTTCTGCAATGATTTGTCATGGACACTTTTCCATCTCCATAAATCGAGATCTAGAAATCACTTATGATCATTGGAGACTATCACATTGTCTGTACCACAAGTTAGGACCATTAGGTTGCTTCTAATTTTTCATCACTATAAACAATGCTGAACATCTTTGTGCCTACATTTTTTTTTTACATTTTTGTAAGTATCATCTTAAGGTAAATGTCTTGAAGTGAGATTGCTAGTAACGATATGCAAACATTTTGAAAAAACATTTCTAGAAATGTGTATGGCCATTTATGTTTCTTATAACAGTTTGCAAAGCATATTTCTCAATACCTTGTCCAAATAGGTTTTGTCAGTATGCAACAGAGTGGTCAGGCCAAATTGTGGAAGGCAGGATCAGGGAGAAAATCCTAAAGTGGAATTGAAGATTAAAAGCAGCTTGACCCCTCTTTGAAGGGAGGGGCCACGTGAGGAGGGAGATTGCTTGAGGCAGAAAAGCAGAAGAGAGCTTATATGGAGCATGCAAAGTTCAAGACTTTGCCCTTTTGCTAAACGTAAACAGCCAGAAGTGGGACAAAGGCAAATACGGCCAACATTGGCCCTCATTGGTTGGAAAGCTGGATGCTCCCACTGGCTTCTGCAGTGCATGAGATTTTGGGAGAGGACTTTTAAACAAAAGGCAGACAGAAGCTCACTCTCTTGATCTCTTGGCTTCTTGGCTGCTTGGACTTTTGGCTGCTTGGGCTCTTGCTTCGTCCTGCACAGGTGGGAGTGGCAGATGCTGAGACTGCTCAGGGCTTTGGCCTTGCACAATTAGAAGCCAGCTCCAGGAGGCAGTTGGGATCCAGAAGGCAGGATCCTACACTGTGATGCATACCTTGTTGGGGTCCAGCTCTTGGGACACTACAACCCAGTATAGCACAGCACACAGGTCCTAGATTGCTTCTACTCTGTCACTCTGAGAGCAGTACATGGGAACATGAGCTGGGAGGTTCCTTATGGATGGAGCTACCCCTGCATGACCATCAGCAGTGATCTGGCAGCACACTCCAGACCCTGTGAGAGAGAGAGCTGCTGCCAGGCGATGGAAACTCTGGTATCAGAGAGAAAGAGCCTGGAGCCATAGACAGAGGCCCGTTCAAGTAACAACCTTGGGTTACAGATAAGCAATAATGGGGAACTGCTGGGGTGGATTATTTGGACTTTAATCTTCCTGGGAATGGCTGGTTTTCTATGCTTTGTGGAGAGATTGACTTGGTTGACTCAGAGCAGGAATGCTCCCAGCCCCCTCAGATCGGGAACCCTGTTAATGAAAATCTATTCTCTTCCCCACAAATCTTCATGTTATGCATATCCATGGCAACAAGCAGCCAAACCCCATGCTGCTCTGTTACAAGTATATTTAATCTTTGCCAATCTTCTAGGAAGAAAAAGTTTAATTTTGTCTTATAAATATTACAAGTAAAATATTAAAATATTTAAAATTTATGTTTTCTGTACCACTCCAGTGTTCTGTTGTATTCCCTAAAATCCCCTATTTTAAATATTGCTGTTTTTATTATCCATAATGACTATTTCTGTAACTTCAGATAATACTGTTTTATGTATGTATGTCTTTATTTACCAGTGTTAGAGATCATATTGACTTCCACTGAATTATGAAGGACATGTGTTTTCATGGTCTTTTTTGTCTCTGTTTTTCTGCATCTACTCCTGCTATGTCTATTTCATTTCATATTTAGCTAGAGGTAAAAGTTAATATTTATTTGAATTTTTAAAAAATCCCTCACATAAAGCTTTAATAAGCAATGTACATTCCCCAAAGAGATAGGAGATAAGTTTATATTGAAGCAAAGCAAATGTGGTTACAGAAAACATTGCCATTTTTAACAGCTCCTCGCCTTTGGTTAATTAAAGATGCCAATCTACTGTTTACCATTCTCCCTACTAAGATGGAGTTTATTTCTGTCCCTTTGATTCTGGGCTGGCCTGATGACTGCTCAGTCAATAGAATGCAGTGGAAATTAATTGGTGTCAGTTTCTTCGATGACTGGCAATTTCTACTTCCATTCTCTTAGAATGGATATCCTAGAATGGATTTGTTCTTAGGATATCCCCCCTTGAACTTGGCCACCATGATGTGAGAAGCTCCAGACAACTTGTGCCCACCCAAACACCCAGGCAACTGCCAGCATCCACTGCCAGCCATATCAGGGCACCATCTTGAACATTCTAGTCTAGTTGAGTACCCAGCTGTTTGTAGTACCAGCTGCACATGATAATATGGAAATGGGAAATACCATATTTTGCCATGCATAATGTGCACTTTTTTGCCCAAATTTTTGAGAGAAAAATGAGGATGCACATTATATATGGGTAGTACTAATTCTACATCTATGTAAATGTTTGTAATTCTTTTATTTATGCTTATGTATTAAAAGTGTAACTCTAGAAAGCAATGATAGCCGTATGCAAAATAATACCCTAGAATACTATAATCTCTTTTGTTTCTAAATATAAATAAATAAATAATTGAATTAAAATGAAAGATTTTTTCCTGAAGGTTTGGGACAAAAACGTGGGTATGCATTATACATGGAGTCCATTATCACAGCAAAATACAGTATATCTAATGAACTTAGGGATTTAGCTAGGGAGATTTCAGTTGAGCTCCAAGATGTCTTTGGACTCAGTTCATATTGTGTGGAGCAAAAGAAACACCCAGGTGAGTCCAAACTTAAGGTGGACTATTAGAGAGCAATACACACCTGAAACAGCTGCTCACCACTGGGTTTTTTGTTCATCTCATTCCAATATCGCCCTCTTCTGCTGGCTCCTTAGCCATTCTTTCCCCACCTCTAGTTCTCCCTGACACCATCATCATTTCTTTTTTAGGGGGCAAACTAGTCAAATTCCTCCTCTGGTCTCATTTGAATATCATTCCCCACCCTGAAGATACTATATCTGTTGTGCCATGTTCTCAGTGGTCAGGAACTTAACCAAGACATTCTTCCAAATAAGTTAGTTTTCTCTTAAAGGAGAGAAATGACGAATGAAATTTTCTCTGCAGATGAACCATGCAGAAGCTACACTCATTCATGTGCATGAATTCACAACCATACATTCACTGCTGAAACAACTTCTCATTCTGCTCCATTTCTGTCCTCTCCCCTCTCTTTCATTTTTAAATCTTTACCTGAGGATGATGTGTTTATTGATTTGAGAGAGGGAGAGAGATGTGTGAGAGAAACATCGATCAGTAGCTTCCCATCCATGCCCCAATGAGGGATTGAACTCGCAACCTTTTGGTGCACCGTACAATGCTGCAACCCACTGACCCACCTGGCCAGGGCCTTCCTCTTTGCCTTCATTTTCTTTATTCCTGCCCCCTCATTTTCTTGCTCACTAGGAGGAGATAAGAAACAAAACAAATAGCACTAGCTGGTGTGGCTCAGTAGATTGAGTGCCAGCCTATGAACCTAAAGGTCACTTGGCTTAATTCCCAGTCAGGGCACATGTCTAGATTGTAGGCCAGATCCCCAGTTGGGGGCGTGTGAAGTCGGCTAATCAATGTATCTCTTGCACGTCGATATTTCTCTCCCCCCTCCCTCCCTTTCTCTTTCTCTAAAAATAAATAAAATCTTAAAAACAAAACAAATACAAACAAAACTTGTCAGTGATGAGATAACTCTTTTGCTCTTTCAGAGACCAATCACGGTTCCAATTCATCCCCCCAAAAAAACTTCATTGAAGAACTGCAAACCCAGAGTTCATAAATAAGTGTTAAGAGACAATGGAAATGAATTAATCGGTTAATCAACACATTTATTAAGCACCTATTTTCTGGAAGGCACTGAGTTAGTCAATAGGGGAAGAAGAAAATATATATGACATCAGTTCCCACTTATTTTCTCTCCTGCTGTTGTTCTCAGCACCATGTGTACATTGAAGTAACTCTCATTCTACTCTATTA